TACAATTCATGCTTATAAAATTTCTTAGACATTTCTACAAGACTATTATTTAGATATCATATTATTAAATAATGCGTTCTTGTATTCTCTCAAAATATTACCTCAACCCTTAAAATATACATTTTTTAGCAATAAAGCTTTTTTCAGTTCCTCTGAATGTTAGTTTAAAAGTTGTAATATATATTTTTCTTAATTGAAATCATCTAAAATATACAATTAAAATAAAATGCTTAAGTTGATTAAAATGCACTGCATTCATTCATTCGTTCCACACTTCGAATCAATATAATATAAAATTAAAAATCGAACCAAACAACAACCACAATTTTTAGTTTTCGAAAAAAAAAACGCATGATCCTAAACGACCTCGTCTAATAGAATAGAATTTCCTATAATATAATATTCAATTCGTATACATTTCATAATCCTTTAAAACAAACAGCGCAAATATTCAAAATAGTGTTTAATGGACATATTTAATAAATCAAGTGCAATGAGTCAATTGATGGAAGCACTTATTGCAAATGGAACAGTGAAATAACTAAGGTTTACCACATTCAAAACGCAGATGTCTGTCCAACGTACCCTTGGTTGAGTAGTTTTTCCCACATTTATAGCATGGAAACCGTTTTATCGTCATTATTGAGTTGGCTTGCAGTCCTGACGACAGTTCTGTGAACATAATTGTTAACAGATGACCTTGAACTTATTTTACCAAATATAAAATTATTTAGTTTCCCTTTTACTCGATTTCGGAGGCATTAAAATGAAATCAGTTAAACATCAGTTAACGTTTCGTTGGTGGACTAACCAACTTCTTCAGAACTTTATTGTAAATTAAACAACAATAGATATACAAATAAAATCATGTATGAAGGTGATCCACCTTCTTGCAAATAAGCAAAGTGACTGGCACCGTCTTTTCAGCATAGTTGATGGCTGTCGACTGAATAGAATTCGCTCGATTTATCTAAATTATATGTTTCCTTTTCTGAAAAATACAGATTATTGGATTATAATCGCAACTAATCTTCTGATATCTTTCTGTTTATTGATGCTAAATCAATTATATTCAATCGGCAGCCAACAACTGTTTTGACAAGACATTTCTAGTGCTTATTTGTAAGCATGTGGGATATTATTCAAATATGTTTTCACATTTTATATCTCTTATTGTTTAGCTTCTAATAAAATTCTAAACATGTTGACAAATTGCAATCGATACAAATCAACTGATGTCTAACTGACCTCAAGTTATGGACTCAAAAATCGAGTAGTAAGAGATCGATTAATAAAGAAACAAGGGTACATGAGATATCAAATATCAATACAAAAATTTCTGAAAATCGCAATAGTGTCGCTATGATTAATTGCCAAACTTCTGAAAATAACTTTATCAGTAGCATAGCTTCGATTAGAAATTTGTTCAAAATTTCAATACAACAGAAGCAAAATACGATTTCAAAATGAGTGTATACTAGAAAGAGTTAATTTGAAACAAATACATTATTTGATTTGAAAATTAAATAACTTACAACTCAATATCATTGACACGTAATATTTTAAATAATAACGATAAACAAAACAAAAATAATTTTTTTAAATAAAATAAAATGAATCCGAATATACTTTTAAAAATAAAAATAAACTCTGTCGAAATATTCTTCTTAGTACATACTTAAATCTTCAGTGATGATTTGAGATGAAATTAAAAATAAAATATGCAAATAAAACACATTCAATGATAATTCTGAATTTTATGAATAAAATAGCATAATTATTTTTAGTAAGAAAAATCTATAAAAAATTGTGATAGGTTGCTGGAATTATCTTCGTGAGTGGAGGCGTTGTCTTCAATATGGAGTTGATAATCTTGTTAATAATTTACTTCGAATAACATATTTTATTATTTAGATAAAAATCGATACATAGTAGCGCACTTATAGATTAATGAACGGGGAATATTAATTTCCCTTTAAATTGTAAATATTACGATTGTAAATACATTAAATGAAAAATCCTGATTACTATATAATTTGAGATTATGCTAATTACAGAATGATGCTAATGACTGAAATTATCTGACATACATTGACAGGCGAAGGCACTATATACCGAAATATGTCCACAAATTATTTCAACCAACACAATGACAGCTAAACGAAGACTTGGACAAATTCAAATGATATTAAATAGAAATATTTACAGAAACGACGATAACCATTTTCTGAAATTTACCGGATGCTTCAACATAAATATATGTACAAAAATCAGAAGATGATTACAATCGGAATTATTAAATATAATTGAGAACCGCGGATTCTATTTGCCATTAAAAATCAAAAGTTTTATAATCATAATTTATAATTAATACTTAAACTAATAATCTCAAAATACTTTTCAACAGACATTTAAGTAATAAATTACATTAAGTGCTATGCGTAGTACTAAAATAATAAAAAAATAATCTTAACATGTTAATTTTTGTACATTCTGCTAAACATTTAATCATAATTGTATTATTAAATTAAAGTTTTGATTGTCAATAGAATTTTAAAAATTTTGCATTATTTAAATAGTATTACTGCTTTTTGAATAATTAACGTGATGATTAAAATCAAACTGCAAGATACTATAAAACATCATTATATAAAAAAATATATAATATTTAACAATCATAATTTAAAAATTTTTTCCTAAAATTTCTTATAACAGCAGCATATGTTTTCAGAGTTATATCGTTTTATACGATCATTTAGATTTTTCAAATAGTAACATAAAATTAGTTCATATACACAAGGAATCGTTTGTTAGAATGAATGCCAAAAATTAACTTATACAGTAGGACAAAAGTCACGTTGAAACCAAAAAATAAATAAAAACTTTTACATTATTTGAACAAATGACTTTCCTAATATGTAGAAACTTTAGGCTGCTACAAATTCTATCTCAGTCACTTTGGAAAACAAGAATTCTTATTATCCATAGGTATAGTTACTAACATATTAAATTTAGTACAATTCGATCGATTTTTTAAATAAATCACAATAATTTACATTATAATTCATATTCAATCTCAATATATATATGTAATCAATCAATCCTAATGCGAGAGCCAATCCTGGAGAAAAAACATAAATAAAAGCTCATCATATCTCGTAAACGTTTCGCTGGCTACGTTCCCAGACTTTTCAGTACTTATTTCTTTTAATTTTTCAAAAATGTTACACTTACATGAAAAGTCCATTGCAAAAATTCATAGCATACGTCAAACTTAGTACGTCATAGTAATACGAGTATACAAAAGAAAGGTGGACATAAAATGGACTACTCCTGTTAGACTTTCAACTGTTATTTTGACGTGTACTACTTGCAATGAAGTTTTCATGTAATTGTGACATATTTGAAAAATCAAAAGAAATAAAGTACTACACAGGTTGGGAATGTATTCTATTCAACGAAGCGTTTACGAGATGTAATGAATTTTGATTTAAAAGTTTTTTCTCTAGAGTTAGTTCTTACATTTAGATTGATTCATGTTATACACAATAATTTGTACTTGCACGCTCAGTTTGTAAGAAAACACTCCATACTCAATCAATGAGTCGAAACAAAAATTAAAAAACTGAAATCTGAATTAATTTTTCGAGTAATACATAAAAACAATAAAATTTACCTAAGCCTGTATGAAGATAAATGAGCTATTACGTTGAATTTTTCAAATACGGGGTCTGTTCAAAAAGTATCGCGAATTTTGTATGTTTTCGAACATTATTTATTTATTCATGAATATTTATTTTATCTCTTTCAAAGTGATCCCCCTTGGATATAATGCACTTGTGCCAACGTTTTTTCCAATCCTCGAAGCACTTAAAAAAATCATTATTTGTGATCTTGTTCAGCTCCTCCTTCGATGCAATCTTTATCTCTTCAATCGTAGCGTAGCGTCGTCCTTTCATGGGCCTCTTCAGTTTTGGGAACAGGAAAAAGTCACAGGGGACCACGTCTGGGGAATACGGTAGTTGCGGCACCATTACTGTGTTGTTTTTGGCCAAATATTCGCGCACAAGCAACGATGTGTGAGCAGAGGCGTTATCATGGTGCAAAAGCCAGTTTTTGTTCTTCCACAAATCCGGACGTTTCTGGCGGATTGCTTCGTGCAAATTGCGCATAACTTGCAGGTAATATTCCTTATTGACCGTACTACCCTGTGGCAAGAACTCATGATACATCACGCTCCTGTAATCGAAGAAAACTTTGAGCAAAACCTTCACGTTTGACCGAACGCGGCGCGCTTTGTTCGGTCTTGGCTCATGCGGCAGCTTTCATTGGGATGATTGAGCTTTGGATTCCACATAATAACTATAAACCCATGATTCATCACTAGTAATGATCCTCTGGAGTACATGTAGATCGTCACGGTCCGAGTCCAACATCTCCTGCACGAATTTCGCGGCGACTCGACTCATGCCCAAATCATTGGTTAAAATCGAATGGCATGAGCCAATCGATATGTTTAGATCCTCAGAAATTTCTCTAACGGTGATTCGACGTTTGGCCAATACTATTTTCTTCACTTTATCAATGTTTTCGTCTGTTGTTGACGTGCTCGGGCGTCCGGCACGTTGTTCGTCGTTCACATCTTCTCGGCCCTCCGAGAACATTTTGTACCGCCGATAAACGTTGATTTGGTCAAAGGTAGCTTCACCATATGCTACAGTCAACATTCGAAATGTGTCCGCGCAATTTATTTTGTTTTTCACACAACATTTCATACAGATGCTTTGATCTATTTTTTAGAATAGGCAAAAATCGAAGACGAGCCAAAACACATCCAAGCATAACAGCTGTCAAAAATTAACTAAACATTCAAAATGGCCAACCTTGTCAGCATAAGTAAGGGACATGAGTACCAATATAACGCTACAAAAAAATAAAAAATCAAATTTACGTAGCCCGCGGAAATTCAAAATTCGCGATACTTTTTGAACAGACCTCAAAAATAGATTCTAAACTTATTTAAATTTATTTGGCTTCAAATGTCGTAGGATGTAGTGACGTTTAAAATTATCTGCTTGTTTAAAAGCCTTAGGACAAAATTCGCAGGAGAACTGTGGATCTTTGCCACACTCATATCTTATATGTCTGGCAAGACTACTCTTGCTTTTATAAATTTTGCTGCATTTTTGGCAGGTCCACATTCGTTGCGACGAACCTGCGGAGTAGAAAACAGAAGGGTTGAGATTAATTGAGGAAGTGAATTTTGCTTTTCGAGTAAATACGTGTTTATTTAAAATACGGAAAATTATTTATTTCAATAATTCAAATTTGATTATTTTTTTTTAAGTTAATATAGTTGAGGACAATTAAAATACAAAAAGGAGTCCGCAGTAATGAGTTGTGAGCTATTAAAATATATATTTTGATCTATTCTTTATTTTTAAAAATAGTTATCGCTCACTCTGTAATTTAATAAAAATATTTGCAACAATAGAAAAATAAAAAATAGGAATGTACTACGTTTATCAATAATTTTTGAAAAATATTTAAAGGATGGATCGATAACTTTTTGTTTCAAATTCATGAAAATGTTCTATAGCAACTCACCAATTTAATTCTCTTCATAATAAAATATCTTACAAGCGAATAACAAAACCAATATGTAGAAAGTTATGGTAAATAAGAATAAAAAAAATTAAAAACACGTTAAAAATGAAAAGGTTCATTATATAATATCCATAAAGCTTATTAAAGAGACTATTAAAATCTTCAGTTGATGATTTGCAAATTTGAAGTGCTGCGAAATAATACGATTATTATCTCGTATAAGAGTATAAATAAATGAGAAAAAGAGTTAACAAAGTATTTTATTCATTTCGTAATTTTAACAACGTTATGAAAAAATATGTATTTTGAATTCTTCTCCGTCGATTTTGCTTTTTCTTCTGTGAACTGTCCCAAATACTTTTCGAAATCTTGAGAAAGTTGATTTTTATCTTCAAATATTATTGATGATTTTTTTTATTTCCTGATGTTATTACGGTACGAATACGTCATTGAATTTTTGATTACCTATAAAATAAATAACATGTTAGTAGAAGACATTAACAGTAACAAAAAATAAAGTTATGACGCTTATCTTAATTATTAGTAACAAATTTAAAAAAATTATTTCGGTTTTATGAGCTCAGCTAAGAATTACTACCTATTTGATAATTGTTATTCATTTAGCCCACTATAATTCGTGAAATTCGAAATGAGACTTCAAAAATTAAAGGCGTTTCGTTCTCACTGTTTGATTAAACTCCTCAATAAGGATCTAACAGCATTCCTTTAATGCCTAGCAGCTAGATATTGCGCAGCTAAGTATATAAGAGAACCATACTGACCATTATGGAGAGGTCCAATCCAAAAGCAATGACGAATCGTCTTTAATTTTTGTAATCTCATTTCAAATCTTGCGAACCATAGTGGGCTGAATGAGTGACAATTATTAAATTGGTTGTGATTAATAGGTAAACTCGTAAACTCGAAATAATTTTTTCAATGTTCTTATCATTAACAGTAACATTCTTGACAATTATCAATTTCATTGAATTTGTAGACAACTTAAGTCTCCTAAAACTTCGTCACAGGTTCTTCAAGGTATGAAATATCTTCAAATACGAGAAGTAGGATCTTCATTGATGGCATCTTCAGGAATAATATTCGATTAAATTAAATCGATTACCTTATTTAAAACTTGTTCTTTATTTAAAATGATTTATTTAATCTTCGATATACGGTGTTCAATATTATTACTTATTATAAAGAATACAATGTGATTCTATAAATATCTTCTTACAGATAGATTCAATGATGAATATGACACTCAACAACATTACTTGACGACATAAAAATGTGTACAATGATTGAACAAGAATGTGTAAGTATTTGTAATATCCGTTACAAAGCACGGATATAATTAAGTTTTTTTTCGTCCCTCCGTACGTGAGGACTCGAATTTCGTCTCGAACGCGTCGTATCTAAAAATAAAGTTAGATATATATGTAAGAAACTAATGGTATTTTAAACTTGATCTTTGCAATGTTTGAATCCACTGCCCTCACCTAAATTAATTCTTAAATTTATTGCTTTTTACAAAACTTAACGCTTTCATGTTATTTACAATTTTCCGTAACCAACTTTGAATGTTCATTTTTAAATGCTTAATAGTTGAGAAATGAAAACCAAATGTCATTCATCAATCTTTACATTGTACTTTTAGCGATCAATGTTCAGGTGTGCCATCACTAGCACACACTTCCTCAATCTTTACATTTTAACTTAATATCTTATAGACCAATTCCGAGTTTAACTCCAGAATTCTAGATAATTGCAAGAACAAGTTGTGACAAAAAATGAATAGCAAAAGTAGTTTAACCAATTTCGCTATGTGTTCAGAAAATATGCCTTTGATTGTAAATTATCAAAATTTGTCTGCTTTAAACTTATTCATGTAATTCAATATTTACTTTATTCATATCCTATTTGTTACTTCAATGATGCTGAGATAACATTTATCTTTCTCCGTTGCCCGACTTCCTTCAGCGTTATATCTTATACATTTCTTTAAGACTATAATTTTCAAAAAAGATAAATAAATCTTTCTTAGATACCCTCAATATATTACCTTAAACGTTAGAATGAAAATTACTTGTTAATAAGGCTATTCTGTTCCTTTGAATACTAACTCACAAATTCTAATATAAATTAATTTTAGATTTAATCTACCTAAAATATTCAGTTGAAGTAAAATTTATATATTGATTAAATGCACTTCATTCATTCATTCTACGCTTCGAATCAATATAATGTAAAATTAAAAACCAAACCAAACATTTCAATTTTCGGAATTCTCGAATAAGATGTAATCTTGAAATTTAATCTTAAACAACTTCATCCAATAGAATATAACTTTCTATAATGTAATAATCATATACATGTAATAATCGTATACATTTTATAATCCTTTAAAACAAACAACGCAAATATTCAAAATGGTTTTTTATGAATAGATTTAATATGTCGAGTGCAATTACTCAATTGGTGAAATGATTTATTGCAAATGGAACATTCAAATAACTTAGGTTTACCACATTCGAAACGCTGATGTCTGTCCAACGTACCCTTGGTTGCGTAGTTTTTCCCACATTTATAGCAAGGAAACCGTTTTGTCGTCATTATTGAATTGGCTTGCAGTCCTGACGACAATTCTGTGAACATAATTGTTAACAGATGACCTTAAAGTTATCTTACCACAAATAAAATTATTTTGTTCCCCTTTTACTCGATTTTGGAGGCATTAAATTGAGTTTAGTTAGACATCATTTGGCGTTTTGTTAGCGGGCTTACCAACCTCTTCAGAGCGAATAATATTTAATCGACAGCCAACAATTGTTCTGAGAAGATGGTGCCATTCAGAGTTCTTATTTGTAAGTACGTGAAATTATCATTTAAATATGTTTTCATATTTTATATCTCTTGATATTTGGCTTCCAATAAAATTCTGAAGAGGTTGGCAAATCCGTAAACGAAACGTCAACTGATATCTTACTGACCTCAAGTTATTGACTCAAAAATCGAGTAATAAGAGATCGATTAATAACGAAACAAGGGTACATGAGATATCAAATATCAATACAAAAATTTCTGAAAATCGCAATAGCGTCGCTATGATTAATTAAGAATGCAAAACTTCTAAAAATAACTTTATCACTTAGCATAGATTCGATCAGAAATTCGTTAAAAATGTCAATATAATAGAAGCAAAATACAATTTTTAAATGAATATGCAGTATAAATAGTTAATTAGAAACACATACATTATTCGATCTAATGAGTAATATAAACTTATAACTCAATATCATTGAAAAATGATATTTAAATAATAACGATAAACAAAACAAAATCAAAATTTTAAATAAAATAAAATGAATCCGAATACACTTTTAAAAATATAAATAAACTTAGTTGAAATATTCTTCTTAGTACATACTTAAGTCTTCAGTGATGATTTGAGTTATAAATAAAAATAAAATAATCAAATAAAATGTACTTAATGATAATTCTGAATTTGATGGATAAAATAACAGAATTATCGTTACTGTGAACAATCTATAAAAATTTTGGTGGGTTGCTGGTATTATCTTCGTGAGTGGAGGAATTGTCTTCAATATGGTGTTGATGACCTTATTGACAATTTACTTCGAATAACAGATTTTATTATACAGCTAAAAATGGATACATAGCAGTGTACTTATAGATTTGTAAGTGGGAATAGCTAATTAATATGACATAAAATATCTATAACATACATTGACAGGCGAAGGCACTATATAATGAAATATATATATTTACTATTTCTATAACGCAATGACAGTTATACGAAGACTTGGCCAAATAAAAAAAATATTAAATAGAAATATTTATGAAAACGTCAATAACCAGTTCCTGAAATTTACCGGATATTGCAATATAAATATATGTTTAGGAATCAGAAGTTGATTATAATCCGAGTTATTAAATATAATTGAGTATCGAAGATTCTATCTGCCATTAAAAATCAAGAGGTTCCTAATCATGACTAATGAATAATACCTAAACTAGATTATTATATGTAAGAGAGTTTACATTTATTTGAATTGATAATGTGAACATAATACTTTGTCCACATTTATTCATTTATATAGGAAAGTTGTGTCTTGAATATTGAATTTCAATTATACTTAAATCATTTTACTACCTAATGTATTTGAATTGATAATGTGAACATAATACTTTGTCCACATTTATTCATTTGTATAAAGCAGTTGTGTCTTGAATATTGAGGTTTTAATTATACCTAAATCATTATACTACCTAATATACGATAAACGTATTGTAACAATAATAGAATAAAAGCAGATATTTATATTTACAGTTCCCTGCACATATCAATTATAAAATAATTTTCAACAGGTATTTGTGCAATAGATTACGTTAAGTTCTACTTGTAATACTAAAAAAATAAAAAGAAAGTATTGTTAATGTGTTGATTTTTGTACATTCTGTTAAACATTTAATCATAATTCTATTGTTAAAATAAAGTTCTTATCGTCAATAGGATTTTTAGAATCTACTTTATATAAATAGTATTTCTCTTTTTATGGATATTTAATGTAATCAATAAAAAGATAATTCAAGAATTTTCAAAACATTATATATAAAAATATATGCATTAACATTAAATTTCATAGTTTTCAATTTTTTCTCCGAAATCTCGAATAACAGCAGTACATTTTTTTCTAAGAATTAAATCATGATAATGCAAGTAGCGATACTTTTATTCAGATTCTTCAAATAGTACTATAGAATTAGTTCATCAACATTTAAAAGTATTCATTTGTCGAAATGAATAACAACAGTACTATTTCTAAACTCGTGTTGAAGTCAAATTAAAATCAAAGACTAATTATAAACTTTTAATCAAATGCCTTTTCTAATTTTTAGAAGCTATAAACTACTATACCTCACTGTCTTTGACAAACAATTTTTCTTATTATCTATATGTACAGGTACACTACTACATTAAGTTTAGTACCATTAAATTCATTATTTAGATAAATAAAAATATTTTGTACTTGCACGATCAATTTATGAGAACACATTTCATACGCATATAATAATTGAATCTTTTGAGTAGAAAAGCAGAACAATAGCATTAACCTAAATATGATTTGAGGTAAATAAGCTGTTATCTTAAATTATTGAAATAAATAGTTATTAAACGAGATTGAGTTTGTAACTCTAGTTGCTCAATTTGAATTACCGTGCTTGAATGAAAGGTGCGTGCGTGTGTACATACATTACGTAGCGACTCATTACGTCGCAGAGCTCTCGCTTTTCATCGAGCTGTGTCCCTGACCACATCTCCGATACTCCTTAGTCAACAAAAAGAAGCGCTCAATAGCCGCGACATTATCTACACCGATTATCCAGATGGATCGTACTTAGTCGACGTGAGCAGCTTTAAATCGTTGCGACACCGATTGTGGCCATTTCACGTTCGTTAAAGAAAACGCTCTCACCATCGGAGGCACCTCATGAGGTAGCTAAAGCGGGAGCCAACGATTGTTATATCACTCCTTCGACGTAGGAAAATTCCGTACATTTGTAAGCATTCTCTGCACCGAATTTACGTCGGAAATGACCGAGTAAGTTCACTTCGTCAAGAATCGTTAAATGAGCCTATTCGTGAAAGCTCAACATCTTTATGCATAATTGTCAGGTCTAAACTTAGTCAAATGCTTAAGATCGTTCAGATTCTACAATCTCTTAAGTAATCTTGGTAGCCAATGTATACGTAACTCATCAACAGATTTTTTTTTAAGTGTCCTTCCTGAATTCTTTAATATTAGTTGAGCTTAATGACTGCGTTCTACCGATTATTAACTTTTAACGCCTTGCTTTTACTATTATATCTAAATTTTACAAGGTTTATTGTATTGATGTCTAAGTTTATGTATATTATTATAGTGTCGAAGAAAATTCGACTTTTGTTTGATAGCCCTACCGCAAAGGTGGCATATGAACTTTGCCTCTTTACCACACTCGATATCGAGATGTCTTTTGAGAGTAGTCGGGCTGCCATAAGTTCTGCCGCACTTTACACAGACCAGCCGTTCTTTCACCGACGAACCTGCGGAGTAAGAAACAGAATGATTGATATTACTTGAGGAAGTGAATTTTTTTCAAATAGATACGTATTGAAATACCTAGTAGAAATTCGGAAGGTTATTTATTTCAATAATTCAAATTTGATCGTTTTTCTACTAAGTTAATATAATTGAGGACAATTAATGTACAAGAGGGAGTCCGCAGTGATAAGTTGCCAAATAAAATACGTAGTGAGCTATTAGAATATTTGTTTTGAACTATTCTTTATTCTTAAAAGAAAATAGTTATCGTTCAATTTGTAATTGAATAAAAATATTTGCAAAAACATAAAAATAAAAAATAGGGATGTACTATGTTTATCAACAATGTTTGAAAAATATTTAAAGGACGGATCGATAACTTTTTGTTTCAAATTCATGAAAATGTTCTATAGCAACTCACCAATTCAATTCTCTTCATAATAAAATATCTTACAAGCGAATAATAAAAGCAATATGTAGAAAGTTATCGTAAATAAGAATAAAAAAAAATTAAAAACATGTTAAAAATGAAAGGTTCATTATATAATATCCATAAAGCTTATTAGACTTAAAATCTTCAGTTGATGATTTCCAAATTTTAAGTGCTGCGAAATAATTTGATTATTATCTCGTATAAGAGTATAAATAAATGAGAAGAAGAGTTAATAAAATATTTTATTTATTTTGTAATTTTAATAACATTATGAAAAAATATGCATTTTGAATTCTTCTCCGTCGATTTTGCTTTTTCTTCTGTGAACTGTTCCAAATACTTTTCGAAATCTTGAGAAAGTTGATTTTTATCTTCAATGTAATTGATGATTTTTTTTAATTTCCAGATGTTATTATGGTACAAATACGTCATTGAATTTTAGATTACCTAAAAAATATATAACATGTTAGTAGAAGACATTGACAGTAACATTCTTATCAATTATGATCTTCATTGAATTTTTAAAGAACTTGAATCTTCAAAAACTTGGTCACAGGCAGAGCAATCGCGGTCTTTACAAATTTTCTTCAAAGTGTAAAATATTTTCAAATATGAGAAGCAGAATCTTCATCGGTAGCATCTTCAGAGATTGAATCTTCATTTGTAGTATCTTCAGGAATTATATTCAATTAAATTGAATCGCTTAAAGTATTTAAAATTTGTTCTTTATTAAAAATAATTTATTTATTCTTCGATATAGGGTGTTAAATATTACTACCTAATATAAAGAACATAATGTGATTGTATAAATATTTTCTTAGAGAAAAATTCGGTGATGATTGGGACGCTCAACAACATTATTTGACGACACAAAAATAGAATAAAACGTGTACAATGATTGAACAAGAGTGTGTAAGTATTTATGATGTCCCTTATAAAGCACTGAGATAATTAAGTTTTTTTTTTGACACTCCGTACGTGAGGAGTCGATTTACGCACCCTCGGGAAAGCAAGTGCGCTTCGAATCTCGTCTCGAACGCGTCGTATCTAAAAATAAAGTTAGATACATGTGTAAGAAAGTATTGGTATTTTATACTCTATCTTTGCAATGTTTGAATCCACTGCCCTCACCTAAATTAATTCTTAAATTTATTACTTTTTACAAAACTTAACATTTTCATGTTATTTACAATTTTCTGTAACTAATTTTGAACATCCATTTTTCAAATGCTTAATAATTAAGAATTGAAAACCAGACGTCATTGGTCATTCTTTACATTCTAACTTAATATCTTATAGACCAATTCCGAGTTTAACTCCAGAATTCTAGATAATTACAAGAACAAGTTGTGACAAAAAACAAATAGCAAAAATAGTTTAACCAATTTTGCTATAGTGTTCTGAATATATCCCCTTGATTATGAATTATCAAAATTTGTCTGCATTAAACTTATTCATGTAATTCAATATTTACTTTACTCATATCCTATTTGTTACTTCAAGGATGCTGAGATAACATTTATTTTTCTCCGTTGCCCGACTTCTTTCAGCGTTATATCTTATACATTTCATTAAGACTATAATTTTTAAAAAAGATAAGTAAATCTTTCTTAGATTCCCTCAACATATTACCTTAAACCTTAGAATATAAATTATTTATTAATAAAGCTATTCTAATTTCCTTTGAATGCTAACTCACAAATTCTAATATAAATTAATTTTAGATTTAATCTACCTAAAATATTCAGTTGAAGTAAAATTTATATGTTGATTAAATGCATGTCATTCATTCATTCTACGCTTCAGATCAATATAATGTAAAATTAAATACCAAACGAAACATTCGTCTCAATATTTAGAATTTTCGTCAAAATCGTATCATCCTAAACAACATAAATATATACACAATGGTATTTAATGAACATATTTAAAATTTTTAGTGCAATTAGTCGATTGACAAAAACAAATATTGCAAATGGGATAAATAGCAAAGGTTTACCACATTTGAAACGCAGACGTCTGTCCGAAGTACTCTTGATTGAGTAGTTTTTTCCACATTTATAGCATGGAAACCGTTTTGTCGTCGTCATTAAGTTGACTGGTAGTCCTAATGACGATTCTGTGAACATAATTATTAACAGATGTCCTTGAGTCTGTTTTACCAAAAAATAAAAAAATGTATTATGAGCATCTTCCTTGCGATCAAATATATTAAGTCTCGACTTTTAGTTGACCTGGTTCAATTTCCACAATGTTACGAACTTGAAGCTTCAAACTTTGTGACGGTTATTCGGTCTAAAATGTTTTCGGGACACTCTCAGCAGCTTTGCCTGTTTCGCTTATGGCAGACTGTGTGCGGCGATCTTCGTTTGAATGCGAAAAAGAGCGAAACGCAAATGAAAGACGATGCTGAAGAGAAGGATGCATGGATGTATTATTAGAGAATGAGTGAAAAAAAACAAGTAAAATTTACTATGAAATGTATGGGTTTGAGTGACAGTGATATTAAGTTTAAGTAAACTATGAAGTAATGTTGTTTGTATACATTAAGTACGATGAAAATCATACGGAAAGAATTGTAGTGACATATGAAGATATTGCCAATAGTTTAAAAATGCGTGCGCGCAATTATGAAATTTAACATAAATGAGGAGAAAGAAAATACACCATCTGTCAAAGATGAAAATTAATCAAGTATCATCGTCGTTCGAGAATGCTAGACATGTGTGTGTAATGTTGCCAATTTCTAACGATTGAGCGTATGGAGGTGAGTAGGGAGAGCAAGTAAAACATGTTCGTAACACATTCGTATGGTCAACATTGGTTTAACCATATTGTTAACTTCGCGCGCGGGTGACGCTTGCAAAGAGAACGGCAGACGCGAGGAGTGTTAGATCAGCAGAGGCAAAGGTGAGAAATGCCATCTTTGAGCTAAGTCAACAATGGGTCACGCCCGCGGCCTTGCGGGACCGGGAGTAGGAGCATAAAGAAGGAAGGATGGAAAGGCAGGAAAAGCGTCGATGAGAGCAAAAGAAAAGTGGAAATAACAAAAAAAAGTGACGGGGGTATAAGGTGAAGAGTAGAGATGCTAGTGGTAACGGCACTCACTTATCTGGCAGGACTCAAGCCAATAAGACTCTCTTTCTCTCTTTCTCTCTTTGCACAGATTGTATATGAAATCTGTCAACAGTATCAGATCGGTCATATTAAGGGGCTTATTTTTTACAACTGTAGTGTAAAGTCTGTGTGTCTTAAATTAATTGGTTAAAAAGACCGATACGTCTGTTTCAGAGCTTAAAATAAATACGCATTAGTTGAATTGGCACTTCACTTTGTGTATAATTTTTACTTCATCTAACCAAACAAGCTTGAAGAAAAAGAACGGTAGACGGAGGCATTTCGCGCACTCGATATATTAAATATGTCCATAAAATACCATTTTGAATATTTTCACCGTTTCTTTTAAAGAAGTATAAAATTGATTAGTATTGACTATTACATCGTAGGAAATATATTTTACTGCATGATATTGCTTAGAATTATTACTTTAAACACTACGGAAATTTGGCCGGGTCGACTAAAAATTGAGATTATACGTATTTGCTCATTTTTGAAGAGGCGCTCGTACAATTATGATAGAACTTCACTCATAGATAAGTTCGATTGATCACATATTTTTATGTAATTTCCATTTCACACCCTAATTTAACCTATCCATCAATTATTGAAAATATTTTCTATGTTTACGTAAAACTGTGATATAATAATAATAATTTCCGATTACACTAACAAACATCAAGTAATCATTGATCTAGACATTAATTTTTTCTTCAAGTAAGCTGTCTATTATCGAAAATATATATTGCACAAAATTCAATCAAAGACTAGGATACCTTAATTTTTTTTCAAGTCTTTGAAAACAATTTCGAAATGAAAGTACATTTGAGTTAAATCTATGTCATGATTTAAAGTTTTAAATATTTTTGGCATGAATAAAATATTTGATATAAAAATTAAAATATTCATAACTTATTTATTTTTTTAAACCAATGGAGTTCAAGATATTTCTCATTAACTAGTTACATTTTTGTTGTCATCAAACATTCCCGCATATAACTCTAATATTATTCAAGGTACAGATGGAAATATGAACATCAAGGGACTTACATATTCTATATAAGTTATAATAAAAGTAATCTTAGAGTAAACAAATCTCATACAATTCAGCGAAACCGGTATAAATAAAAGAAACTGAAAAAAAAAATAAAAATATCGCAGCAACGGAGAAAAAAGGGGTGCATCACTCACTTGCGGTGGGAGATACGCCTACTGTCACATCCGTAGATTCGAGCCTCGAGTTGGTGCTGTGTAAACATGTGACGTTGGAAACTGCTACGCTGTTTGAACCGCTTACCGCAGTAGGTACACGCATGTTGTGGCAGTTTGCCACATTCTTCTCGTAAATGCCGCGTCAATGATACTTTCCACGAGTAAGTTTTACCGCAGCGATAACAAGCGAATGGACGATCCCATGGTTTTGACGTGGACGCACCACTCGGACCTTTGAACAAATAAGCAGAACGATATTTTTTGGTTAATTTTGATTTTTTGTCATAGCAGTTGTAAAGGCTCGATTATTTACTTGTTTTTTGCTGGGAAATGGTTGAGTGAAAAGGAGAAAAGTGCGATTTGCATATTTAAATGTTGAGAGCCACTGATTGAAGGAACGAGTGAAATGTATTAAAGCAATCAGTGATTCTTAATTTATTGTGGTTATTCTAAGTTTTATTGTTTAGATAATGTTACGTTACGTAATCATTTGACGCTTGTCCTTCGTGATATCTTTACATAATTTCCATAATGTTAATCAACATGAGGTTATCACAGCTTAATTCAGTTTATACTTGCTACGATTGAGTTTAATTAAGCAGTCTATTTCTGTGACAATAGTGGTACAACTTTTTGTACAAAACTTTGGCATGGGAAATTCGATTGGAAATATGAAAATAGAACAATATAATAAAAAACCGATGGGAGAACTGAATAGTTTTACCACCACCATTGTACCAATTTTATTCCATAATTTCTTACAAATGATGGTAACTTAATTTCATATTATTTTGCATTAACAGCAATTTAAGTAACAGTATTATTTTGAAAAAAAAATAATACAGAAATTCCATACATACCTATGTATTATAATAAATTTGTATTTCACTGATATAATTGATACCTGTAAAAATGAAGCTCATGCATTAATTACAGTTCTATAAAATATACTATAGTGATGAAAAATATCTGAAAATCAAGCAAATACAAATCCAATTTGAAAACATGACATAGACTAATTTTATATTTTAAATAATATTTTTTTAATAATAGACATATAGAATGGTGCATTTAAATGAATAAGTCAGTTTAACCGTTTCAAGTTAATTTAAATGAGTTTGTATTTTTTTCATAAACGGCCAAAATATGGAAATAAAAGGTAAGCAGTTCATTCTACACTCTCCCAACAACTCAATCACTAATTCTTGATATAATAAAAAAGCTATCGAGCACCATTTATTGCTGGTACACCCTTGTCAATTTCATTTTAAAATATGTTTTCTTCAAAATTTGTAACCTTCTCTTATCTTTCAAAATAGTTGCAAATGCACATGTATGTGTGTATCACCACCCTATGACTATTATATTTTTCAAATAATTAAAAGTAAAGTAAAAAATAAAATTTTTAATTTAACAACTTATCTTAATAGTTCTCTGTAAATTGCATGTTTGTTTATAAAAAATATTGGAATCAAAATCTTTCAATTAAATAAAAAAAATGTTCATTTCGACACGATTATTTCGTTACAATTTGTTGCAATCATTGTAAAGAATCAAAATCAGAGAAGACACAAGGTCGTTTTGATTTTTGATGCCTGCGTAAGTGATAGGCTCGCTTGAAGCGTCTGCCGCAGTGCTGACAAAAGAACCGAGGTAGAACTCGACATTCTTCACGCAGGTGACGAAGTAAAGAGGTACGCCACGAGTATGACTTGGCACACTTAGGACACTGAAATGAGTTCTGCCGGCGAGTCAGTTCCAAGTCGTCCTCTAAAAACAGACAACCTCCAGTCAGTGGCGCAGAGGCAGGATAGCGAAGGTAAGTCTTTGAAATGTGTATAACAAAGAGCAAAAATTTGGAGAAAAAAAGCACAAAATAATAGATGCGACAATAAAACAACAGTTGAAGATTCATCCACAAATTTTGTGTTACAGATCCAAAAGACATTCTTTTGATAGAACACCCGTAAAGCCTAATTAGAAATTCTCTGGTACACATTGAGCATTTATGGATGATTTTTCATATACACGTTGAACAAACTTTGTCAAATTTCTGCATGAAACTACACAGAGGAAAATTTTGCCTACGCATGACAATGATCAATGAAATCAATCACTGAAAAACACAAAAATATCAACGATGAACATTATTATAAATCAATAAAAGTTGAATAGTTGTAAGTGCATTTATTCTAATGTACTGATACATTTTTTTCTAGAAACATTCTTCTGTTAAGATCATTATACTCTTCGTGTACCAATGTTTAACAATGATTTCGATTGTAATCTTATATATTCCAATTTCTTCACAATGAACCTGGAAAAATAAATGATGATTAGTAAAGCGCATTATTTTATTATAGGTATGAATCTTTGTCAAGTATTGTTATCATATGGGAATAAAAAACTGAAAATCAAGATACTAATTAATAAATAAAAATGAACGATTTTGAAAAATAACAAGAATATAAAATCATAGTAACTTTTTGGTGTAGTTAATAAGTCAGCGTTTTTCTGATCATTGCTCATTTATTTATAAAAGTTTTTACAAACTGATAAGAAAATTTCCATGGCTGGAATGTTATAGTATAATTTGAATTATTAACATAATATCGCGCTTATTTACAAAATTCCACTAATGTCACTTTGTATCAATTATTTGGGCAACAGATGTTTGATGGATTGTCTTGCGATGCTTTATTAAGTGGTGTTTATGCATAAATCGGTAGCCGCATATTTCACATTTAAAGGCTGGTAATTTACCACATTCGATTCGCCGATGTTTTAATAGAGACTCACGCCATTTGTAGCTTTTGGCACAGTTCGTACATGCGTACCTGCTGTCAGGATTGTCCTTTGACTGGAACGGCAAAATAGGCAGCATCCAACCTGTGGACATATTTGATGGTGGATTGTCATTGTATTATTATAAGAAAAGATTTGATCCTTTAATTAATTCAACATGAGAAAAAAATACGTCGATTTATTTATTATTCACAATTCAAAAATATTTACATGCAGAAAATACCGAAAATTTGAAAAATAAAAAAAAAATTGTACAAAAAAATTGATATATTTATTTCAATATGAAATCTGTGATGGTGTGTTGAGATTTTTGCTGTTGGAACTATAGATGGATATATCAAATCATTTTTAATAACTTTTCATTGTATTGCTGTTCAATGATTTTCTCGAGAAATCCTCAATGTATTTACCTGAAAGCAATATGAATATGTTAATAAAAAAGTATTAACTAACATAATATATAGATAAATCCTGTAATTTTCTGAAAAAATAAAACTCTAAACAATAGAAATAAAGAATAATACGAAAGCACATAATAAAATAATTGAAAAAAATGTAGATTGTTAGGATATCTAATGACAAAATATTTAATTGTCATAAATAAAAATTATTTTTGTTTTGAAGAAATCCACTTTTTTAGTGATTAAATTTTTATTTCACTCAGACAAATATTAACATTACATGAAAAAATGAACTAGAAATTTTCACATATTTTTAAAGTAAAAATTGTAGAAATAATGTAATTCATCACAATGCAGATTTCGAATATAGTAGTAAATATATTTTCATTAAACACTTTATGAGATTCTCACTTTACCCGCGTCTAGTAGCTACATCTTTTTCCCCATTTAAGACGTATTTTTTCTATTATTTTTCTCATTTTTACGCTACAGTAAATAATATTCATATTTATATACCTTGTTTATGTTTAATAGCTAAATTTTGTATTTGTTACGCTAGATTGTTTTTTCAGATACTTACATACTAATTATTATCATGATCATAAAGGCTAAAATATTCATTCATTTCCCTTTGATCTTAATATTTTTCAACGGAAGATTCTATCACCAAAATACGCAAAAATAACGTATTTACATTTGTTTGGTATATTTTTAAGAGAAATGAAATGACTATTTTAATATTTGATTATACAACGACGAATGCTCTATCGTACGAAAGCTGCAAAATATAATATAATTTGCTTTAAAGACATCGTTCAACCGGCTGTGAAATAATTACAAAATAAATCGTAAAAATGGTTTTTTTTTTTTCAAAATAACAACTACTATTCAGTATCATGCGTTGAATTGAAAAACTTTCTTGTTTCGAAAAATGTAACTGGTGTCATATTTTATTATGCTACTGTAAAATGTATAATATATAACCGTTTACGTATCTATTGTTCAGTCTTTGCGCTGCATACTTTCGATTTCGCACAAAAATTGTCGTATCCGTTTAACCATCGAAAATTATTTCAATCACAATTCTTTTTATTGTTTTATCGGCACATATTTTGGCATTTAGTTTAGATTTTTTCGTCTTATGAAAACAACATTCATAGTCACCATATAAATGTTAATCAATTTTATTGCAATAAGAAAATTTTCGTTCAAATTTTAAGCTAGTGTCCTATTTTGTTTGTTCAACTGATGATCTTCAAATTTTTGATGAATTCAGTATTCTTTGTCAATGGAAGTTTTCAGCTATCCTTGACATTGCATTGTGAATGAGTTTCAATTAGTTTTAAAGACTTTGGAAGATATAACAACATTCATTCTGAAAGAGAAGTATTTCTTTTCATACATCAATAGTATTTAATTTTTCGAGTCGATTTCATTTGCACAAAGACATGAGCAGAAGATAGAATCATACTATTAAGCAATGCATTGAAGAACAAGCTAGCGCTTTTAGGATTCAATGAAATATTGTTTTTTATCGTATTTATTTGCATGTTGCATTGGAAGTGTAAGTTAAGAATTTATTATTATTTTGATTCAAATAACCCCCATTGAAATATATTTATAAACCAGTTCAGAATATAACTGGATAGTATTATAGAACGGAAGAGCTTCAATTTTCCTTTGATATATCTATTTGAAACTACTAATTCGTTTGTAAAAGTAAGCTCACCTTTGAGTTACTTTTTGTAAAAACTAGAACTTTAAATAGGTCGGTTATAATGTCTATAAAAAGACACATAGTAAAGGTACAGAGAAGACTAGACATAATTTTAGAAGATAAAATGAGTCTATATCTCTTCTAGTCGCAGTCTACGTTAGAGTTTCAAGTGTAAATTTTCACATTAGATTTCTCATTTACTAGTGTGATATTTTCAATACTCAACTATTCAAACAATCAAAGACTATCTTGAAGATTTTTCAAAAACATTCAAAAATAGAAAGAATGTTTTGATACGTAGTAAAACATTTTCACTAGTCATTCAACTAAATCAGATCAAAATTTTTCACATTTAGGGTAGGAACCTAATTTTATTATCGCACTAGGATAGAATCCTAGTTTCTTAATCACTATCATATTTGATTATATAAGTTCTAAAGAGAGAAATATATTACACTAAATGCGCAACCAATACAACAGCTCCGTTGGAGTACTTGCTGTTAATAGAAAATACGAAGGAAATTTTTTATTCTATTAGATTATTATTCAAAGTGAAAGTTACACTTTCGACGAGTGCACAAGAAGATTTTGATTGCAAACACCGACAGGATTTAGTTTGAAGATACAAAATTTGAAATTGAGAATTTTTTTTGATTCAATCTGTTGAATTCTGCCCTTACTTCTGTAACGTGGAGAATATTGCTTGATATAGCGTCACAATCTCACGTGAGGAGGTTGATTAAACGTAAAATACATTAAAAACTGTACCGTACACAAGATGAATATTTGTACTGGTCATTTCATCAAAGTAATAATATTTTCCCTAAAAGAAACTTTGTTTTATGAAATAGCATTCTATTGGAAAGAAAAATATGATTATCAATAAATAGTGCAACAAATAATTTTTGACTAGAACTATAAATTCTAATACGTAACATACTGTCTTGATTCCCTTATAGTTTTCTTATATGATAACATTTGTAATAATGGAAAGAAGAGAAATAGCTGGAAATTCACTTAATTTTAATTATATTCAGCAGTGTTAATCATTGTATTCGGATTCATTTTTAATTTCTCTTAATTTTTCGTTTTATTTATGTTGTTGTTGTCGTTCGTTGAAGTAGAGGGTTGGCCGGTTGGTTCTGTCGCAGAATTATATATAGTGCTAAGTGAGGTAATTTTTACGCAGTAAAAATCTTTTACCGTGTAAAAATCACCTCACTTAGCACTATATCTATTCTGCGACAGAATTAACCGGCCAACCCTCTACTTCAAAGAACGACAACAATAACAGCAAAACGAATACGACCTAAATAAAACGAAAAATTAAGAAAAGTTAAAAATGAATCCAAATACGATGATTAACACTGCTAAATATAAGTAAAATTAAGTGAATTTCCAGCTCTCACTATTTCTCTTCTTTCCATTATTACAAATTTTATCATTTAAGAACTATAAATTATATTTAATTATTCGTTAGACAATATAGAGAGCATGAGAAGTGAAATTCTGAGTTAAAAAATTCGTT